CAGAAGGAGGATGGACTATCTCCTCCTGTGTGATCAACTGCCTCTGAAAACCTGCCAGAGGGTCAGCTCTAAATTGGTTCTGACTCTACAGTACACAACAACAACATCATTATATTACTATCCCTCACTGTCTGTGTATATAGTGAGCTATTTATATCTCCTACATTACTAAAAAAGCCGTGTAGGGGAGCTCTGGTGGCCTAGTGGCAAGGAGCTGCAACTACAATCCCAGAGGCGAATGGTTCAAATCCACCAGATGCTCTGCCGGGGAAGGAGGGACAATCTCCTCCTGTACCAGTCAGATCTGATTTGACGGTACACGTACACAAAAATAATAAAATAAAATAAAATTTAAAAAATAAAATAAAATAAAATTTAAAAAAAAATAAATAAAAGAGCCATGTAGAGAGAGAATCTGTCTATTCCAAGTCAGTCTTCCCTAGAACACCAAGCACTGTTCCTGATTATGAGCAGATATGCAGTAATGGAGTCTACCTAATTCCCTGAGTTCTGATTGAGACTTGACTTGGAAAAGCAACACTCAACTTTAGTGGGCACACATGTGTAAGCTCTAATCACCACCTGGTATCAGAGCATTTCTGAGCTGGACATGGTCTGAGAGATTGTCTCATTTTATCATTTTATGGATGAAGAAATCAAAACTCAAAGGGAAATGTACTTGGTTGAGGAGCCTATGATGTGTTAATGGCTGTCACCTTCAGAATCTAGGATTTCTGACATCCAAATAGATGTCCTATTCACCACATCCCATTATTTCTTACTGGCAGAGAATGATGAGTATAATAAACTAAGAATATTAAGTGAATGTAATAAATGCTGTGGGCAGGCTAAGAGGAAGAAAAGAAGGACCCTAGTGTGAAAGTGAACAGTCAACCTTTCAATTAGCAGCCGAATGTTTAATTACTAAACCAACAGAGATCTTAATGAGTCACAAACCCTTCTCGATGCATACTCCTGGCACCTCTCACAGGGATGGCTGCCTAAGACTTTCAAAGGAGCTCACCTGTGAGGCACTGGCAGCCTAATTTACCTTAATCAAGAGTCACCAACAGAAGCTAGTCTGTGTCCAGGAACTACTCAAACTCCATTGTGAGAACCCAGCCCAACAAGCCATGCCCAGGTTCCTGGGTAGTCAGGTAGCATTACAGAGTTTAATTAGTCCAGAATCTGGGAGAGATTCCAGCTGACTGAGGTCGTAGATTCTGGCCTGAAAAAGTTTCATGAGGATTGTTGCGCTGTAGCCAGGTTTTAAAGGATAAAATGTTGAGAAGTAAAGAAACGTGGCAAGCACATATTATCAAATAACAAGAGGAGGAAGATGTGAAATGAAGCAGAGGAGGAAACACAGTTGGCCGTGGAATGTCAAGGGTTTATATTGTTCATAATCACTTTCCAAGCCATTAACATTGACTTTGCCATGTGGATGGGCAGAGACATGTCAATAAGTTAGCCTATCCACAAGAGGATTGGCTAGTCTTGAAATTAAATTAAGCAGGTGCGGCAGCAGAATTTGAGCATCTCACCACCAGCAAAGAAGCAGAGAATGTAGTGTTCCCCATGGGGCCAGAAATTTTTTGCATCAGCCAGACCTACAAGAGAACAGCCTCAGCCTCAGTAGAGAACCAGGTACCTGACAGGAGTCAGAGCTGATCTTGGGACTGTACCCCAAGGAACCAGAGCCAAGAGCCGTCACCCAAGTATGTTGGGGGACTGGGGGAGAGAACCATAATTGGAGGGACGAAGAGCTTTGTAACCCTTGCCTAAATCTACAAGGCTAGAGACTGAAGGGCCTGTGAGCATGCTTCAGAAGCCATCCTGCCTTAGAAACTGTATCCCGTTGCCAACTAAAATTGTATCCTGTTAACTTCTCTAATAAACCTCATAATCACGAGTACTGTTCTGTGTGTTATGTGAGTTACTGCAATCGGGTTTTGGACCCAGAAGAGTAGTCAAGTAGTAAGAGTAGTGTTGGAATTAGTAGAAAGAGGTGCCGGTGTGTAGGGGACTTGTCTGACAACCTAGACACTGGTTTTGTGCTGTGGATGACAATGATGGGGGAAGTTCCCCTTGTGGCGCTAGTAGAGGTCTGCTATGGTTGTCCCCACTCAGCCCTTGCTCTTTTAACAGCTGAATTAGAGTAAGAAGTTATGAGAAGAAAGAGCAAAAATAAGGAAGCATCAGAAATGCCTGGGCTTTGAAAGGTATACATATCCTATAGGTGCTGAGAATAAAACTCCTGAAGGCTACGACTGGGCTGTATTTTAGACAGCAGCTCTCACAGCCTTCAACATCACTGCAAATCACCCTGGTCAAGTCTTTGCATCACATTGTACCTTATCCTCTTATGCAAAGTGGATAATACCAGAAGTATTCTCAGACCTTAACTATCAGATTTCATTCATTCTAAAGCAATCAATCAAAAAAAAGATTGATCAAGTGTCCTTTGGTAAGCCAAATAAGCTTTTATTTCAGAAAGATAGATTTTATAGGGAAATATAAGGCTCAAATCAAAATCAAAAATGTGACTATGGGGGTTTTCCCTTCCTCTTTGGTTTAAAAAAAAATTACATTCAGAACAGGAGCAGATTTAAATTCTGAAAATCAAAGTGCAAAGGGCTGTAAACTAACCAGTAACATGATCCATGAGGATTTCTTTCAAATAAAATTAAATGTAATTTTTACTGCCATGCAAGTCTAGGCAAATTCACCAGCAGATTAATCCCTCTAAATAAAAGGTCAGCCAATGGTAATGTTGTGGAGAGAGGGCTGACACATACACAGTCTACAGGAGTGCAGACTGGAGTAACCTTTTCAGAGGGCAATTCAGCAATATTGATCAGATCTTTAAATGCACTCATTTCTGACCCAGCAGTTCTACTTCTGGAGAGTTACTTTACAATACTAAATGTATGGGTCCATATTTTTATCATTCACTCACTCATTGTCATCAAGTTGAAACTGATTCATAGCTGACCGTTCAGAGAGTTTTCCAAAGCCATAAGTCATATAAGATGGCCCATCTTACTACCTCAGAGCATCTGGTGGATTCGACCCACCTGCCTTTGGGTTAGCAGCATATACCTTTACCCACTAGACCACCAGAACTCCCTCTATTTCTATAGATGCATTATATATAAAGCAAACACTATATGTAAAATGCTTACTTGAAAAATGCATTACACATAATAAACACTGAAAGTAAATGCTTATTGTGTCAGTGTTTGAAACTAAAAAAAGTGAAAGCTACCTTCAAGTCCATCAATAAAGCATTTGTTAAATAAAGCATGGTTGTTGTCCGAGCAACAGAATTTTGTTAGCTGGGCACCATCTCACCTTCTTGTCTTGGGGTCATGAAAGTTGAGGTTCATGTGGTTCCCACAAAGAATGAGCTAAACTTTTTATGTAATGAAACACTAAGAGATGATGCATTATTAAATAATGGTGGAGGTGGGGCAGGCACTGTGTCATTACACAGTTTTTAAGTCCAACAGAAGGGAACTATTAACAGTCGTTCCACTTCTAGGGGAAGGATTAGACAGTGACAAGGCATGAAAGGGAAAAACAAAACCCAAACTCTGTCTTTTTAAACTCCTATAATCTTTGCCTCGTCTTTTCCAAAGAAGTATATACTACTTCTCTAATTTTTCAAACATAAAACCTTCAGAGATAAGTTCAAGCCAATGAGCTAGTTATCTAAGAACGTTTTGGGGATTTTGCCCTCCTTATCCTGACCCTGGTGATGTTTCGTTGTTGCTCTTTTGTTTGGTTTTTTGAGTGTATATGATTTAGGTAAAGGATTACTAAACAAACTAGTTTTCCATTCACACACATTTAATTTTATGGCATCAATTAAAACACCCACAGTGTAACCACACTCTTCCCACTTCCCCCCTGATTCTTGTTTCCTAAGTCCTTTAACCTTGTCCTTCTTTTTAGCTTTAACTCTGGGCAAATGCTACACCTTTGATCATATGTAGTTGATTACTCCTAGGAGTGAGGTCCTCCCTGGTGCTAGTTTACCTTATTTCAGACTACTGTTTAGCAGAAAGTCAAGCTTTCTATGGCGGGATGACTTCTTTTCCAGGTTCACAAAGTCAGAGTCTCAGGGGTCCCACCTCTCTGTACTGGAACAGCATACATGGCCATTTTTATAGTTTTTAAATTTTGCTCCACATTTTTTTCATTCACTGCATCCAGGACTTGCTACTGTGATCCCTTTTAGAGACCTCTGAAGGGGTGGCTGGGCACCGTCTCATCTTCTGGTCTTAGGGTCATGAAAGTTGAGGCTCACATGGTTCCGTAGGCCTTTGGACCAATTGTTTCAGTGCATCTTTGCCTTTGAAATAATATCTTTTTATCTGACCAGGATAAAACTGCTTTCTGCCCACAAGCCATCCTCCCCTTACTGGGTTATAAAACCTGTGAGATCAGAAATTCTGCCTAGTTCCTAACATTCCAGGCACCTGTCACGGAACTAGGCACAGAACATGTGCTTAATAAATGTCAGATAAATGAACAAATTAAAGTCCAGGAAAGTCTATTTGTCTGTGTTTGCAAAGCTTAAGAAACAGACTTACACCATAGGAAAACTTGCTTTGAATCTGCAACTTTTTAGATACGAGTAAAACACTTGGAATATTCAGCATAATCATTTCTCCATCTGATTACTTAGCAATTCTTTAGTATGAAATGAAAACTCAATCCCTTTCCAGTCACTGTCACTACCCTTTTCCTTCTATCAATTTTCAATTCACTTTTCAGTTTCCTTTCTTGTTTTTTGTTACTAGATTCAAATTTGGAGTTAGAATTCAGGGTACACTTGGAACTCTCCACTGCCACCCTCCGTTGGCTCTCTTTGGTTTATGTCTATCCCTCTTTGTAAGTTAGCCAGTGTCCTGGCAGTAACGATTTTCTGTGCAGAGTGCCACGTGCACATCAGCAGTGTGACAAGAGACAGGGAGCAAGGGATCCATACTTACTGGCTCACTTTGTGGTACAGCTTAGCAATTCCCTGGTGGGTCCAGTCCTTTCCAAGGGTGGGCAAAATGTGGCCAAGCGTATCTGATCTAAAGGTAGAAATGAAGAGGGAGTAAAGTCAAAGTGAAAAGGAAACCAGCAAAAGGAACAAAAGTACCCAAAAAGACCTGATAAAAAAATGCAAGGGAGATCCACAGCCTTGTTTCTGGATAGGAAGCCCAAGGCTACATTCATCAAATGTGAATGCTCAGGAGAAACTATGTTAATATACAAAAGGGCACGTTCAGTCTGATCTTTATCCTGGTTCCTGATGTGCTGAATAGAAGTGAAAAGGCCACTGAGAAAAGCATCCATATAAGCAGCAAAGTCAAGGAGAGGACACTATAGAAGTTAACAACCACCAAACCAAGTACAGCTACTTAATTCTATTAATTCAAGGAGCTAAGAATGAATGGACAGCACTAAGTACACCAGAAATCAATTTGGAAAACTTCAGTGATACCACCAAGGAGAAACGAAATGTTAACACCAGGCCCAAGACATGCACTGTAAAATTAACCAAGTCATCACTGCCCCCAAATCAGTCCTACCTACCGAGTGATTGTCCCATCAATGTCAGAAATGATGACTTTATCATCCCAGTTCCACAAATAGATGGTGCCTTCGCAGCGACAGGTGCCCTGATACTGCGTGGTAACACTGAAAACCACATCATTTGGGCCGTTCTTCAACTTTAAACTTTTCTGAAAAACATGAAACGTTTGTCCATGGGAGAGGAAGCTACAGATTTGAGAGACATTTGATTTCTATTCCATGAGAAGGATTAGTTTCTGTTTTGGTTTTTTATGGTTGTTGTTTTAAAGTCTTTAATACAGGTCCGTCCTTTCTCCTCTCTTGGTCTAAAAGATAAACATCCTTCAAGTGTTGGGCAGAAACACCTTTATTCTTCTCTCAGGCTCACCCTAAGGCAGCTAGCCCACTTCCTACTAAGAATCTGCTTCCAAAGATGTTGCAAATGTGCTTCCATATTTCTGAATGACAACTATGAGACAGGGTTAAATGACAGGCTATATATGGCTGTACATAACAAAATAAAAATTTCAGTGATGTTTCTCTAAAAACCACATTTTAAATGATTACTACACTAATCCAAATTGGGACCAAAAAAAAATCTCAGTTATCAGTCACGTTTTACCCTGAAAAATATATCCAAACCAAAGGAAGTCATGCCAAAATCAAAAAACAAAATTTGCAGTTGGCAGTTCTGAACCTCTCAGCTGGATCCTCTAACGAGTGCCAGCTCCCTCCACAGGCCTGCAGGGTCGCCGGACTCAAGGGTTCCGCCCCAGGCTTGCTGGTGAGAGTGTGGACCACGCAGCTTCACGGAGACCACATGTGCATAGCATCATACAGTTAGCTGTGCCTGTTCATTCTCTTCCAAGTAATTAACACTTAGAATAGAAATAAGACTGTATTGGGGGCATGGGGGAGATATACAGGATCACTGATTGACACAGGATATAGAAACCAGAGAAAAGATGGGTCTAAAACAGGTCTTGTATATAAGTAAAACTAGTTATTATGATCAGATGATGCCAACTGCTACCTGAAATTCTCTACATCCCATCACGATCCCTTGATTACCACCATTTCAAGAGGTGCATTAGAGCTAAAACTATTTCAAAGCAAAAACATCCCTGAGAGATTCTGAAACTCTATCCTTCATTTTTACTTTGCTACAAATTCATTTTGTCAGACTGCTTGTCTTCCAGCACGTGGGAGAAAGCACCTCAGCCGCGGAGACAGGGAAGACAAAAGGAGAAGGAATATAAAAAAGAGCCAGCCTAGAGAGGGTGCTGCAGTGACAGTGGGGACAAATGGAAACGTGGGGGTCTGGAACAGCGGGAGGGTAGGAGATACCCTCATTATAAGAGTGCTGGGAAGAAAAGGCAGATCCAGAGAGGACTCTAGCCGATCACATACACCACACCCGACGACTGCCACCCGCCGGGGACTGATAAACACGGCTGTGCTGAAAACATGACACTCACCAGCTGCTCTGAAGTGAGCCGAAGAGTCTTTTTGTAGCTGACATTAGACAAAAGAGGGAGGTGGCTTGTGTTGGATGGCTTGGCAGCTGCATGCTCTTCATCGCTGGAGGATGATTCATGCTTTATTCTGGAACAAACAGTGATGTAATCACCAATTAGAAAATGCATCTGGGTAGCCATTAAAAATGCATTAGCCTTGAATCAATGACTAAGTCAGTCAGGTCTCTCCTGAGCACTGTCTCTTGGGTGGTCATTTACCATATGGCATTAAAATTATCAATGAACTCTCACTAAGTTCCCATTCATGCATCTCTTGCATTATTCATCTCGGGGCTGCCTCTCCTCATTCACTTGCCGATTTACTAGCTATCATCACTCTATTTTAAACGACTAGGTTTCTATTCGTGATAAGGAAGATTAAACTCCCCTCGCTTGCCTAGGAGGATGCTTCCAAAAGTGCTCTGCCTCTCAGCTTTCCCATCTGAGAGTGCAAGCTAAGCTCACTTGTTGTTAGGGCCCATCAAGTTGATTCCAACTCATTGTGATTCTAAGTACAAACATAACAAAGAAACACGGCCTGGTCCTCCCACCCTCACAAGCATTGCTATGTGTAAGCCCACGGTGCAGCCACAGCAACAATCCAGTAAACTGGGGGTCTTCTTCTTTTCCACAGGCTCTCCTCCAACCATGACGTATTTCCCCAGGCTCTCACCCCCTCTTATATATAACACGCCCCAAGTACATGAGGCAAAGGTTCATCAAACACTTCGAAGATGCAGTCTGTGATAACCCAATTACAAAACAGACAAAAGACATGAGAAGACTCTTCACCAAGGAGGATATTAGGGTGGTAAACAAGCACGTGAGGAAATGTTCAAAATCACAACAATAAGAGAGATGCAAAACCAAAACAACAATGAAATACCGCCTCAGACCATCAATAATAGCAAAGGTTAATAGGGCAGCAAACCATAAATGTTGGCGAAGATGTGGACACATTGGAACTTTCATACACTGTTGGTGGGACTGTCCAACCAATATGGAAGGCACTCTGAGGTTTCCCCAAAAAGGTGACTCAAATCCTTTATGAACCAGCTATTCCACTACTAGGAATATATTCCAAGAGCTAAAGCACAAACAGAGATAAGTACATCTATTTTCACTGTAGCATTAGTCACAATAGCAAGAAAATGGAAGCAGCCTAAAAGCCTATCAACAAACGAATGGGTAGAGAAATTGTGGTACATTCACACAATACTATGCAGCACTAAAGAATAACAAAGAACTCATAAAATGCTACATAACATGGGCAAGTCCAGAAGACACTATGCTGAGTTTAGTAACTCAGTCATGAAAGAATAAATATTTAAGACCACACTGTCAAAATAGGAGGGGAACTGGGTACAGGAGAAATAGAGCAGAAACAGGAAGTATAGATATTGAATACTGTAAAGGATGAGGACAAGGAAGGATCAGCCTGGGAAGAACTGACCTTAGGACAATATGACTAATGCCATAAGCAGATTCTGTGGTTACGTACCATCAGGTCAAGGACAACTCATAGTGACCCCTGTAAACAACAGACCTGAACCTTGCCCTACCCCTGTGCCATCTTCATCATTCCTAACATACTTGAGCCCACTGTGGCATCTGTGTCAATCCATCTCATTGAGGTCTTCTTCTCTTCCACTGGGCATGTCACCTTTCCAAGTAAGATGACCCTTTCCAAGGAATAGCCTTTCCTAGCAATATGCCCAAAGTATGTGAGAAAAAGCTTCATCATCCTTGCCTCCATGGAGGAATCTGGCTGCCCGTTCTCCAAGACACATCTGTTTGTTCTTTTGTCAGTCCACAAAATATTCAGTAGCAGAGTTCCCCAACATCACAGTTCAAAGGCATCAATAATTCTCTGTCATCCTTATTCATTGTCCAGCTCTCAGATGCACAGCAAGCGACTGAAAAGACCATGGTCTGAAACTGTCAACAATTTCATCTTACTTGAATCTGCAAACACCCTTGGCACCAGCAGAGGTACTACATAGACAAAGTCTATCCGTGCAGTCTCAGCAAATAGGAACAGGGTATTTTCAGTTGTTCAAAAGGGGAGAAAGAAGGAGGGAAGGAGTGGAAGAAGAGGAAGCAGGGGAAAACCACTAGGGCAACAGAGATGATGAGCCAATGGGGAAGAGAAGGAATAGCCAAAGTGCAATGGGGACTTGATGAGATGGGTTGATAAAAAGTATTCATCAATAGCATACAGTTATATAAAACACAATGTATATGAATTATTAAAAAAAAATTTTTTAAGCATTCTGGTTATACTTCTTCCAAAATACATCTGTCTCTTCATCTAGTACACCATTCAATTTCTTCCCCAACACCACAATTTAGAGACATCAATTTTTCTTGGGTTTTCCTTATTTATTGTCCAGCTTCATTAAGCAACTGAAATGATCACGTTGGGTCAAGTGAACATTAGTCTTCAAACAGGTACATTTGCTTTTTTAACACTTTTAAAGAGAGCTTTCAGAGCAGATTTTCCCCATGTGTTATGTCATTTGATTTCTCAAACGCTGCTTCTGTGGGCACTGATTATGGACCCAAGCAAAATTAAACTCTTGACAATGTTGTTGGGAGCCATTAAATAAGTTTCAACTCATGGCCACCCTGTGAACCACTGAAGCTCTACACAGTCTTGCACCATCCTTATAACTTGTTTCTATGTTTAAGCCCCCTCCTGAAATCACTGCCCCAATCCGTCTTACAGAAACTCTTCTTTCCCTCTGATCCTCTACTAAGCAAGATATCTTTCTCCAGGGACTAACCCCTCCTATTTACACACTTGAAATATCTGAGATAAAATTTTAGGATTCTTGTTTCTGAGTGGCTTCTTCACTGCACTTCATCCAAGGCAGATTTGTTAGTTCTTTTTGCATATTTGTTAGTTCCTTTGTCTGTGCAAGGTGTGTTCAGTAATCTGTGCTAACATCATAATTCTAAGGCGTCAATAATTCTTCAGTCTTCCTTATTCAATGCCGAGGTTTTCACATGTTTACAAAATTACTGGAAAATAGTATGGCTTAGTTCTGTCACACCTTGTTCTTTAAGGGAATATTGGGAAGATTTGCCCAATGCAATGTTTGGTTTGAATATCTGATCACGACACTTCAAGAGGCATTAACTACATATTCAAGTAAAATTAGATTCTTGAGAACTTCCATCTTTCCCCTATTTATCGTGATGTTTATTGGTTCAGTTGAAAGGATTTCTCTTTTTTAAGCTGAGGTATAAACCATATGAAAGGCTATAGTTTTTACTTTTCATCAGTAAGTTCTTCAAGGGTTCTTGCTGTTGTTATGAACCATCGAGTCGCCTGCGACTCATAGCGACCCTATGTACAACAGCCCTAAACTCTGCTCTGTCCTGTGCCAATCGCACTGTCTCTGACACTCCCATCCCAATTATCCTAGTCACTTGAATCAATCCACTTCACAGAGGGCCTTCCCCTCCTGCGCTGTCCCTCTACCCTACCCAGCATGATGTCCTTCTCCAAGGACCGGTCTCTCCTCACAACATGTCCAAAGTATGTTAGACGGAGCCTCAGAATCCTTGCCCCCAAGGAGCCACCCGGTTTGACCCTTTCCAGGATGAATCTGTTTTCCTAGCAGTCCATGGTACCTTACTAATGTTAAATGGCTTCCATATTTTTAATAATGTTTTACACTTTGGCAAAGTGTTAAACTAATTGAAAAAAGGCAGGTGGACCCCAAAGCAGCTCCTCAGGTGTTCTGTCTTCCTGTGAAGCTTCCTGCTCATCCCTATGTAAGATGCACACATATGCAAGAACTCCATTAAGTCTTTTTATCTCAGTAAGATGTTCTCATTTGATGCAATTGTCCTTTTCTCCTCTCAACTTGTTTTCCCTTCTCCCTACCACCAGAAAAAAAATTAACAGATACAATCTATGCACTCTATCACTTTTTTAATCCAGATTTGCCCGTTCCAGACTCAATTCTTACAATCTAATACTGCCCCAGGCTGGAAGAGAAGTGAAGGAAGATACTACCACCCCTGTAGAAATGGGTCCCCAATTCTGTGTTATTGCTGCCAAGTTACATGTGGGGACCTGGCTGTTTCAATTCCTAAAATGTGCTGGTAGACTGAAGTGCTTTCAACCAATATTCATTTACCATTTGTGCCAGGCATTCAAGATACAGCAAACAACCTGGCCTCTGCTCCCACAGTGCATTCTGTCTGGCAGGGTGAAGAACCAGACAGTCACAATGCCGCAGGAATCGTGTTGGGATGGGAAAGCCAAGGATGATATGGGAGCATCTGGGCTTGGATATGGATTTATGCAGAACAATCTGGGCTGAGGATGCAGACTTGACAATCACTGGGATACAGTGATGGACACAGGTGATAGTGTAGAATGAAAAAACTAGGGTTCTGATTGGCCCATAGCAGGCAATGCTAACAAGTGATGTAACCAGCGCACATGTCATTGTGGGCTGTTTATCATGTGATAAAAACCACTTGGCATCTAGATAATCCAAGCTTGAGCACTATGCAAGTAATTTACAGCTGTAGCTTACCAAATGACTTCTCTTGCAGCCTTGATTCACTTATCTTAAAATATAGAAAAATAAGATGAATACCACTTATCCAAAAAACCCAGAATCCAGGCAGACCTGGGAAGAACTGGCCTGAGAGACATGAGTTCCAATGAAGACTTTCTAACTAAATTTCCTCTCTTGGTCTCCGCAAACTCATCTATAGAATGAGATTCTCCAACAAAAGTATCTCCTGTTCTGATATCTGCACATCCTATGAATAATTCCAAGTTCTTCAGAACCAACAACCCAATAAATTTGCAATTAGGGTAGTCCCTGGGTGGTGCAAATGGCTAATTTAGCACTCAGTTCCTAACTAGTCTGTGATTTCAGTTTATCAAGTAGCACCTCAGAAGAGAAATCTGCTAAAAAAAAAAAAAATCAGTCACTGAAAATCCCCTGGAGCACTGAGCGACCCTGACACACTAGAAATCAGAGTCAACTCAATGGACGTGAAACTCTTCAGTCATGAAGCCAACGCGGCCTGGCGAAGGCCTGGACGGAAGGAGGAGAATGGAGCTGCAGGCCGCCTCACTGAATAGGAAAATGTTTATATTCCCACAAAACAGCTTTGAGTGAAATGAGATCCAAATGTGAACTGAAGCTCTTGGTGACAACAGATTGATGTCTGCCTCTGCCAGGAGGACGCGGAAGCAAAGCGGAAGAGCTGTCATTTCCATCTGTTGCTTTTTTAAAAAAAAAAAAAACCCAAGTTCGTGTAGCGTGCCATGTTTGAGGGAATACAAAAAGGGAAAACATAGATACAAAAACTAAAAATGGGAGTTGACACGCGGCTGCGGATAAACAGCCTGTTGAGGGCAAGCAAAGGGTCATCTGCAGTTACCGCCTCGGGCGTGAATGGAATGGCTCGCACCCTGGATGCCTGCGCGCTCCCAGCAGCTCGGCGCCACGGCCGAGCGCAAAGACGCAGCCAAACAAAACGAAAGGGCTCCTATCGCTTGAAAAATCTGGGTTCAGAGGAGTAGCTGATAACAGCAGCTACGTTAGCACTTGTCACAGTGTACATTTTTCACATGATATTTTAATTATTTGTATGGTGACAAGCTGTTTGCTCAATTATGCGACTTCAGGGACTGTTCCATCAATCAAGTCTGTCAATTAGGAAAACACTCCAACCCTTTTTTGGTTTTTCAGTCATTTATATGAATGTAATAATTTTCCAGGAACACTAAAAGTTTTAAATGCTTGTGTAAGTAAAAATAGGTTTACATTTCCCCCAAAATCTTTATATTAAATATTTTTTTTAAAAAGTAATTTCTCTTCATGAAAAGCGACTCTTCATTTCCTAGGTTTAATACTAAACTACAGCATTACTGCTCCTCCCAACCAGCCATGGGAGTACAGACAGGTACACGGGTCGGCCATTAGCACCAAGACTTGGGGATTGACCTGTTAGGACCTTGTCACTTCCCTGGGCCTTTTCCTTGAGCAAAATATCCTGGACAGCACTCCTGGGATTGGCCTACACCTGGGGGAAACTGCCTTCACCTATCAAACCACAGATTAGGACAGAGAAGGGGGCCCACCACAGATGTGCAAAGCGAAAGACCCCTGCTTCCTTTTCCTCAAAAGTACCATGCGACTAATTCAGAATAGTGAACAGTTTTAAAATATTTACATTTAATTTAGAAAAGCATCTTTTTTTTTTAAACTTTGAATAGGATTTTATCAGCTAGTAAGAAAATCTCTAATACTTCTGAAAGTACAGATGTTTTCAGCAGGGGAAGAGCTATATAGAAGGGTCTTGCTGCTCAGTTTTGTCCTTGAATAATCCATTTTATTGCTAGAAAAGTAATAATAGTGATCATACCAACAGCAGCAGCATTCTTGCACGCCCTCTATATGGCAAGCATTGTGTTGGTTGTTAAATATTATGCCTTTCATATCTCAGCTCCATCTTAAAGGGTCAAATCAAGCAAATTACAGGCTGAAATTCACAGGTATCTTTTGCTTCTTGCAAAAAGGTTTTTCAAAACAATTGTCCTGCAGGGAACCCACAACCCACCCTTCCTGACTTTTCATCCAGGGATGCCTCCAGCACATGTTCCCAGACCACACCCACTGGTTTTTCTATTATTTCGTTTGTTTGTTTGGGTTTTATTGGGTTTTGTATTCTTAACCGAAGGTAAAATGCCTACTTTTCCCATAATGCACCCATGATTCATTCAAATGGTGTGGTATTATTTCTATTTCTCTTGCCATTCTATAGATTGGGGTGGGGTAATTTAGAAAAGGTGATTAGTTTTCCAACAAATGCACAGGTTGTCTGACCAAGTCTTGTGAATTAGTGCCAGGACAGAGAGGAATCTTCAAAAATTCCAGGAAAGCAGAACACATCTACTATAGTAAACTCTGCTTTAGATTGCATAAAGCATACAGTTTTCTATCTTTGCTTCTGACCCTCTCATATATTCAATCTTCTGAGCAGCTGGGGCTTCTCCCAGTTGCTCGCTGCATTAACGTCACTTTTTTTTTTTGGTGCATGTACCGTCAAATCAGATTTGACTGGTACAGGAGAATATTGTCCCTCCTTCTCCAGCAGAATATCTGGTGGATTTGAACCATGCACCTATGGGATTGCAGTGCAGCTTCCTGCCACTAGGGCATCAGAGCTCCCTAAAGTCACAATTTTTAACCTTCACTCTGATGCACTAAGTCAAATGATCACTAAGTGACATAGACAGAATTCAACACTGGATCTGCTCCATTCCAAACTCTGTGCTTCTCCTGTTCCAGCCTGTTGCCTCCCACCAGTAGAACCAAGCAACCATTTACTAGATGCCACACTCTATCTTAGCTCCTTGGTAAGTCTTTTCAAAGGGAGGTATCCTGGGATTGCTGTGATGCTGAACCTTGTACCATTGGGGTGTCAAATACCTTAACGGTTACCCATAGTGGACAGTGTTAGATGGAGCTCCCAGTTTAAAACAGGTTTGGAAGCAGGAGTGGCATCCACTTCCTAAACCATATGCCTCTGGAAACTATGAACATTAATAAATGTTGATGGTTATAGAAAGGCTTCAGGCCTTTTATTCATAAGGTTGCTATGAGTCGGGCTTGACTCTATGGCAAAACAACAATACATCCTTCATTTGTTCACCATCTTAAAAACCTCTACCTTCTGCCTTGGCCTAGGAAGCCTGACGAGCCAGTACTATTCTCTCCTATAGTCTAGGTCACTATGATTTGTAATGAATATTTTGGTTCAGACCTAAGCCCACTGTGGTTTTGTCTCTCTTTTAAATTCACTCAAAGTCAAGCTCAAAATCCCAGGTCTAAGTATTCTTGCATCAAGGTTGAAGAGAAGACCCTCAACAAGATGCACTGACACAAGGCTACCACAATGGTCTTAGCACAGCAACCACTGTGAGGGTGGCGTGAGACAGGGTGGTGTTTCTGTCGTACTGGGTCACTAGAAGTCAGCACTAACTCGACAGCACTTAACCACAAACAGTGATGAGAATGAGCAAGAGGCAGGTGGGAAGCGGTATTACCCAGAGTCTCGTTCAGTTCACTCAGCCATTGAACCGACTCAACTGATCCTCCAGCAGGTTTTCAGAGGCTACAAATTCTACTGAAAACAATTTTAACAGGTTTCACCACCCTACTTTTCTCCACAGAGAACAATAAAGAAATCGTATTGTTTCCGACTTGCCACCCGAGATAGTACATGGACTTCTCTCTTCAACTGCTTGAATCTAGAAATGGAATCATTTAAGTTAAAGCTCCATGGCCTGGAGTCAGAAGACTTGAAATCTAAGCCTAACTCTCCTATAAAACAACCTATTGTTAAGGTGATTGTTTAAGTGCCATCAAGTCAGCGATGACACATAGCGACCCTATCCGTAGCACTCAAATGTTAACCAAATGGATTGACAGTTGTGAACCTACCACCCACACCACAGTAGAAAGATGTAGTTTCTGAAAAAGATGACAGCTTCTGGAAATGCTATGTGGTCATTCTACTCCATCCTAGAGGGTCACCATGAGCTGGAAAAACTCAACAGCAACCGACATGGGAATGTACAAGGACTGCAGAGCTATAACACCCCAACTCTAAATGGAATGTCGTATCCCGAGAGGATTCTCACTGTACCTGGTGGCCAAGCTAAGCTGTGACGGCTGCTCCCCAGTATTGTGACCCGCCACAGCCAAGCCTTGCTCTGGCTTGCTTTCCTGAAAAAGAAAAAAAAAGAGAGATTCGTGGAAAATACCAAAGAAAAAGGGCCTGGGCAATAATAGGTGGGATACTACAGTGAGCTCCCCTAAGGCCCAGAACAGAGTCGCCAAAGGCAAATCCTTTCCCAAAGGCACACATGCCAGGGGTGGATCTGGGAGGCTCTGAAAATGCCTACTTGGGCAGGTCCTACTTACTCCTTCACTGTGAAGCACACAATTAAGCTGAGAAATATTTCTGACAGTAATGAGTCTGTTATCCATAAGTGTCTGTGGCACCAAACCAAACTTCATAATCACTGTGGCGTATGCAAATGATTTATCAAGGGCTGCTTGGATACCCGAGGGCTTTCAAAATATTTTCTTATAATTGCTGGGAGAAACGCTTGAAAATATTTTCACACCATATTTTGCTTGGGAAAAAATGTGGAACTATTTTCTCTTTCTCAAAAATCACATATTTTTAATAGAATATGCTCCTCTGATATGTTGGAAAGAACACTGGATTTCTAAACGAAGAACAGGACTCAGCTCCGATTATCTCAGTCATCGACCTTGGGCAAGTTATCCTGAATCTCTCAAAGTCCAGCTTTCCCATTTATAAAACAAAGGTGTTAATGTCAACCTCACTGTGTAGCTACAGGAATAAGGAGAAACTGAACAGAAAGCCTAACACGTTGCACAGCACAGGCAAGGAGGAGACAGGCACTCACTAGCACCGAAGGCTTCACTCTGGGTGATAAGAGGCCAAACAGAAAGGCCAAAGGAAACAGGACGTGCAATGAAATCTCATTACTGTGGTCATTGGTCATAGTAGATAAGCTAATGCTTCCTGCAATATCATTAACATCTCATGCAAACAAAATACATTGAAAATCATCAAAAAGTGGTTAGAACAGTACACTGACAGAGAACTACCAAGTGTAAGCTAATTTTAGAAGAGACCGTGGCACCAGGGCTATTACTACTGTTAACAGATGGACCTTGACTGAAAGTAAAGAATATAGAATACAGAATACAGTAGAGAATACAGAAGAATGCAAAGGCATTTCACTATGTGGATCTAGCTCCACATTGAGAAGAATGGAAATTTCAGAACACTTAACTGTACTCATACAGAATCTATACCTAGATCAAGAAACTGTTGTGCTAACAGAGCAAGGGAATGCTGCACAGATGAACATCAGGAAGAGGAAAAATATGTGTCAGTGCTGTATCCTTTCTCCACACCTATTCAATCTGTATGCTAAGAAAATAATTCACAAAGCCAGACTCTCTGAAAATGAATGTGGCATCATGATTGCAAGAAGAATCATCAACAACCTAGGTTATAATGATGACATAACCTTGCTTGTTGAAAATGAGGATATTGCCTTTCTATGAAGATGGCACCGAAAGCCAAGAAGGAAGCCCCTGCCCCTCCCAAAACTGAAGCCAAAGCAAAGGCATTAAAAGGCCAAGAAGGCAGTCCTGAAGGGCGTCCACAGCCAAAAAAAAAAAAAGAAGATCCGCATGTCACCCACCTTCCGGTGGCCTAAGACACTGAGACTCTGAAGGCAGCCCAAATACCCCCAGAAGAGCGCCCCCAGGAGAAACAAGCTTGACCACTATGCCATCATCAAATTTCCCCTGACCACTGAGTCAGTCATGAAGAAGATAGAAGATAACAACACACTTGTGTTCATTGTGGATGTCAAGGCCAATAAGCACCAAATTAAACAAGCTGTAAAGAAGCTCTATGGCATTGATGTGGCTAAGGTCAACACTTTGATTAGGCCTGATGGAGAGAAGAAGGCCTATGTTCTATTTGCTCCTAATTATGATGCTTTGGATGTTGCCAACAAAATTGGGATCATCTAAACTGAATCCAGCAGGCTAATTCTAAATATACATTTTTCTCATATAAAAAAAATGAGGATATGAAACACATGCTGCAGAAAATCAAAGGCTACAGCCTTCAGTATGAATTACATCTAAACCTCAAGAAGATAAAAATCTTAACCACAGGCCCAACAGTCAACATTATGATAGACTGTGAGAAGATTGGAACTGTTAATCATTTTATCTTGTTTGGATCAACCATCAATATCCTTGGTACCAGCAATTGGGAAATCAGGAGACATATTGCATTGAGCAAGTCTGCGTTTAGGGACCTCTTCAAAATACTGAAGAGCCATGATGTCAGTTTGAAGACTGAAGTGTGTGTGTGACTCAGGCCATAATCTTCTCAATCTCCTGCTACACATCAAAGAGCATGCGCAGGCAGGATAATGAATAAGGATGACAGGAGAAGAATTTATCCCATTGAGCTGTGGTGCTGGAAAAGATTATTGAATATCCCGTGACCTGCCAAAAGAACAAACAAATTCGTCCTGGAAAGGGTGCAGCCAGAGTTCTCCTTGGAGGCAAGCATGACGAAGGTTCATCTTTCATACTTTGAACATGTAGCTAGGCAAGGCTATTTCTTAGAAAGGAACATCATTCTTGAAAAGGTGGAGGGTCAATGAAGGAGAGGAATATCCCCAATGAGATAGAGTGACACTGCGATTTCAGCAATGGATCCAGTGTCTCAGAGGTGAGGAGACATTATTTCAGGCTGACTATTCATACTCGACTCAATGGCACCTAACAATAACAACAACTGCAGTACTTTAATAAAGAAAATTCATATTACAAGATAGGGTGACTGTCTTAACATATGATGAATACAGACTATCTTCAAATATATTTTCACTTTATAAAAGTGCACCACTGATATAACATATACAAGTCATTTTTCAAGTATTGAACCAGTTAACTTAAAGAACATTATTGATAATCAGGCTAAAAGTAGCTACCTATCGGGAGGGGGGAAGAATTGTATACCAATGAAGGAATTTTTCTCTTACTTTTCAAAAAGAAGAGCAAACTGGGGGAAGGGGTGGGCAGGGAAAAA